AGTACGAATGCTGGGATTAATGGTGACAGTAATATTGCGCGCAATTAAGGAAAAGCGGGATGTGCTCTTCAAACTATATAAGTCATTATATTATTTTATTACGCAGATCTGAGCTTATTATTATTTAACATTTTTAATAAGAAATCACTATGGTTACTTAACAGTTTCCCTGTCCGCGAAATATACACAAAAATTAAACAATTAAAATGTTCGTATATGATTCATGGGATGGTAAAAGCGTTAATGAATACAGCAGCGTTGAAAATATTTTATTGTAACATTGGCTTTTGCTGATGTTGATAGCTGAGCAGCGTAGTAGTTGAACTTTCGCTCTGCAGGTATGCAGATTCAAATGCCGCATGAAACAAGTTATCATTTGGCCTACAAATAACGATTCTGGATCTGGATAATTCTTCATGTACAATTAATATATGAAATGTCTACACGACCTAGAAGAAAATCCTATTGTGAGGCAACGTTATGAAAAAATGATGGCTTCCAATCAAAAACAATTAAGTATAGGAATAGTTTGTTTTCGACCTTGGTTAATTGCTAATAAAATATAAATGGATATTTTCCTATGAAACTGCCGTTCTGCAGTACTGGCCATTTCAAATCGAAATAATTTTTGTGTTGTATTTTTTGTTTTGTTATGTAAGAATTCAAATTTTATATTAATTGTATTTTAATAAGATTGAATTCTTTTTTCAAAATTAGTCATTTGTTTACTGGTAAGAGTTACTTTTTCATCGCATTTTAATCTTTTTCGTCATCATGAATACGTTAAAAATTCAAGTAATTAAGGAATATGAGTACCGTCGTTACAGTGACGCGACACAAACGGCACGCAACTTCAACGACGTATACCGAGCAAATACTACAATTGATCACACCACCTGTTATTGTCCGCTTCCATTCTGGAAATTTCAACATTAAAGATGATCCCCGTGGTTGTTAAAAAAATATATTAATAATAGCGGATTAAAGACGATTGTGAAAGCTGATGATACTCAATCTACGGCTGAATTAGCATCAAAAGAATATTGATCAATTTGCGTCAAATTGGAAAGGTTGACGAATCGGTGTCCCACGAACTCAATGATCGCCATTACGGAGTCCGCGGCGGGACTTGTCGACCGTCCGACCGTGCGAATCGACGACCCTCTGCCCCCGAGCACCGGATCTGCAATCCCTGTGTCCATAAAATAAAATAAAAAATATTTATTTGCATAAAACATGGTACATTTTGAGGTCTTATAATATAGTGTGAACATGCATGTTTTACCGATTTATCAGTATGCAAATATTAAGTCGACATGCAATAATTGAATAATTAAAATTACAAAATTACAATAACGTTTCATATCAAAATTTAATAAAACAGTATAATGTCAATAAATTTATAATGTAAAAAGAGAAAAAAAAATATACAGGCATGGTCATGTCATAATGCATAATGTCAAACTAGTATAATGTTAATCTTACAAATTCTAATTCATTTGTCAATTTAAAATTTCAAATAACAACAATTCGCTTGAGGTGACCGTCATGGCAGAATTTAAGACACAATTTACGACGCTACAACCACGCGCCCTCCGCGATGTCGACCCGCGGGCTCTCTCCGGTCTTCTCGGAAGCCTAATCAGGCTCCGATATGGAAACCAACTCGCGGGTCCCACGCAAGCCGGAAGACGTAGGCTTCACACTCGTCCAGGGTAAAAAGCGCAAACGCGGAGCCCCAAGAAAGGCAGCTGAACCTAACTTGGCCCCCGTGTCTCCCACCGCCACTCCTGCAAAAAAGCCTGCCCCCGCGCTGCGCGCTCCACCCCCTAAGCCTGCGGCCAAGCCTGCAGTGAATTGTTCCCCTGCTGAACATAGGGAAAAGCCGCCGCCACCCATCATAATTCGAGACAAAACCAAATTGAATAACCTTTCCAATTGGTTAAACTCTAAAAAAATATACTGCCCAAAGGTGCAAAACGCCGGTCAGGGCATTTGCATGTTTGTTAACTCGACCGAGGAATTCCTCAGTGGAATACCTGCGCGCCCAGCAAGTATGTCCGCGGGCTCCCTAAAGAGCTAGAGACTGAGCACATCTTAAACGACCTCAAAGCCCAAAATCTCCCAGTCCAGGAAGTGCACAGGATGCACTACCAGACCGATAAAAAGCGCTTCCTAGATCTGTATCTTGTCATTCTGGCTCCTGAAGGCTGTCTCCGAAAGGCAAGGAGATTTTCAACGCTCGGCGCATTGCAGTTGAAGACTCCCGATCGTTGGCAATTGGCCAACGATCCCATCGGTGGCGATGGGACTCGGCCAAAAATTTTTACGCCAGGCCTAAGGGCATCAAGTGCCTAGGTGACCACGGCACCACTAACTGCCCCCGCACGCCTGAGACGGTTGAACCCTCGAGTTGCGTATATTGCCGCGAAGCGGGACACCTAGCGAATTATCGCGGGTGCTCCAAAGCGCCACGAAGGAAGCAGCGTGGAGGTAGAAGCCGTCCCAGATGCGCGGGTTAAGCTAGTGTGTCTCGCTCTCGGCGGCCTACCCCTAACCCCACACCGTCTTCGGTGCCCACATTCTCACTTCAAGTCGTCACTAAGTCCGCCCTAGTCACCGGGGCAGCTGAGCAAAGTGCTAGCATTCCCGCGTCTTCTATGCCAAAACCCACCGCTTGGGTGAAACCACCGGCACTAGTCGCCTCACGACCAGTGCTCCCTTCCCAGGACACAAAACCAAAGCCCATCCCATAAAGCTCTTCCTCTTTCCCTGCCGACTTCTCGCTAGTCAGCGGCTTCACAAGCAACATCAATGTTGCTGAGTTATCCTTCTTGGATCCCAAACTCCGCGGAGCCACTTCACCTCAGGACAAGCTCAACGCTACGATTGAGCACATAGGACTTACCGACGCAATCTGGTCTTCCAGTGCGCCTAAGCACCTCTTCTAAATACCAGAATGACCGTACAACCTTTAGCCAGGCACGCTCTATAAACTGTCGCGTTCTTTAACGCAAACGGCCTTAGAGACCACAAAGACGGTATCGCGCTCTTCCTGCGCAAACAAGACTTAGACGTCATGCTGGTGCAAGTGACCTTCTTGAAGCCTATTCATCGTGACCCTAAGATCGCAAATTACACCATAGTTAGAAATTATAGGTTGACCAGCCCCAGAGGCGCCACCTTGATCTACTATAAAAGGTCATTGCACTACGTACCGATAACAATAAAAACTGTGGTAACCAATCCATCTGCCAAGCGAGAAAACTATGGAAAGGTTAGGCAACCATGTTTTAACTGAAGACCACCGAACGTTAACAATAATTTAACAGTTTGTAATTGCAATTTTAACTAGTGCTGATTTTAAAGGTTAAATAAAAAGCGCATAGTTTTCCATTATAAACTGTGATGGCTTATACTTAAAACTGTTAAATGAGCTTACTTTTTTTAAATAAAAAAATATGAAAAATCTCCCCTGTAAGGCAATCTGTGGAGAAGGCCTATGTTTAGCAATAGAATTTTATGGCCTGTTATGAATGATGAGTGAAATGTATACTGACCATATAACTCAATAAATATGCATTAATGAATTACTAGACCGATCTTGATCTTTAAAAACATATTTTTGTTTGAGCTTACTTATTTTTTTATAGAAGTAGGAGGAGTAAACGGGCGCACTGTCTACCTGCTAGTAAGTGAATACTATGACGACCATAGACATCTACATGTATCATCGATTAAAAACCAAAATTGTGTTACGCCTAGTAACCCGTTTTGTGGTAGTTCAGGCACAGTATAAACTCAATAGAACACGAGGAAACTGCATTTTCTACTGACTTCAAAAAGAAGGAGGTACTTAATTCGACTGTATGTTTTTTTCATGTATGTTACCTCATAACTTTTCTCTGGGTAAACTGATTACAATGATTCTGTTTTTTATTTGAAAGCTGGTGATTTTCATGTAGTCTCGTATAAATTTGATCAAGGTTTGACCAATTGTTTTTGAGTTATTCCTAATAATTAAAATTGCAAAATTTTTAATTTTAAATTATTGACATTAACACGTTGAACGCCATAACGGACACCATGTGTCCGTCAGTACACTTTCTTCCGGGGCCGCACCATTAAATCACGAATCTTTCTAAAATTTTTGTGGTGTTTTTTTGCAAAAATTGTTAGGAAATAACTCAAAAATAATTGATGTTGTACAGAAATTGCGATATAAATATTATTTTCCGAGATGTCAAATGGCAGACACCAGTGTCCGTCGCGGCCTGCCAGAGCGTCCGACCGTCTTTTCGTGCGCGGACGCCGCGCGGGTCATACTGTCGGCTCCCCCCTCGCGCTACGTCACACTCGCTCGCCCCAGCGCAGCGTTACGCGTCACACGTTCATTTGCCTTTGCGCTTGCCTAGGAGAATGTTGTGTTTCTTTTCGCAAAATTAGGGTTCCGTGATCGTAACAAGTATTCTATTTTTTCGTCATGGATGTATTTGAAAACTTTGAAGTTACCGAAGAAGATTTAGCACAAATAGAAAACATTGAAATAAACTTATTGAATTCAAGTTTTCACATATCTTCAGAAGATGAGAAAGAAAATATTTCAGCATTTCCGTCGAACAAACGTCGCCGCCGTATTATCCGCTCGGAAAGTGAGGACAGTGGATTAGAAAATACGACACCGGATTTGCCAGATCACACTCGAACTGATGGCGGTGGATGGGGACTGCCAGAAGGTAAACAACGTCGTTTGATTGCATTCACTGACATTTCGGGACCATCATACGCTGTTCGATCTACAATGGTAAATAAGTCTCCATCTGATTTCTATTCGCTTTTTGTCACTGACGATATGTTGCATTTTTTTTGTTTCTGCAACTAACCAATACGCTATTGAGCAAATAACTATGAAACCTAACGCTTCTGCTGGTGCGCGCATCAAACAATGGGTTCCAACTAACTATACAGAGATGAAAAAATTCTTGGGCATGCTTCTCTTCATGGGTGTGGTCAAACTACCAAAATTATCGGATTATTGGTCGAAGGACGAAGTTATCGGTCATCCTTTTCCTAGAACTGCTATGTCACGTAACCGCTTCGAAATTCTGCTTCGCATGTTGCATTTTTCTGAAGATGACGAGAAAAACAAGGCCGATCGACTTCATCGTGTAAGGAAGCTAATGAACGATTTAAATGAGTGTTTTCGGCAACATTATACGGCAAATGAAGATATTTGTATCGATGAGAGCATGGTGCCATTTCGTGGAAGGATTTTATTTAGGCAGTATAATAAACAAAAGCGGCATAAGTATGGTGTTAAACTATTCAAGCTGTGCTCCATTCCTGGATATACACACAAAGTTAATATCTACGCTGGAAAAAACATGGACACTATAAACACAACACCCACAAATGTTGTGATGAATATGTGTGAAGGCTATTTTAACAGGGGGCATACTTTGCATACCGATAATTGGTATACCAGTATTGATTTGGCGCGAAGACTTTTGGAGAAGCAAACTCATCTTGTCGGGACAGTCAAGAAAAATAGGAGGGGGCTTCCTAAAAAAGTAACCAACACGAAACTCAAGAAGGGCCATTACTGTGCGGAGGAGAGCCGAGATGGAATAACGGTGATGAAGTGGAAAGACAAGCGCGATGTTCTTGTTTTATCCACAAAGCACTCTGTGCGCTTCGTTGAGATCATAAAACGTGGACAGGTTGTGAAGAAGCCTCAAATCGTTTTGGAATACAATAAGGCCAAAGGAGGTGTGGATTTAGCAGACCAGATGGCTTCTTATTCAACTCCACTTCGCAAATCCATCCGATGGTACAAAAAAATTGCATTAGATATGCTTCTAAATATAGCTATGATCAATGCTCATGTTTTGTACCAGTCTGTAACCAAAACAAAAATAAAAGTAACAGATTTTAGAGTTGCAATTTTGAAATCATTCTGTGCTAAACAACAAGCAGATGAACCAGCCTTAACAAGACCGAAAAGACAGAAACATATTTTGGTGAAGTTAGACGGCCCATCAAGGATGACTAGACGAAATTGTGGGGAATGCTACAAAACGAATGTCAAAAACTTGGGTCGCTTACAAGCACGAAATAAGACGAAAAAAGTAAACACTTTTTGTAGCGTTTGTCCTGAAAAGCCAATTTTGTGCCATGACTGTTTCTTTAAACTGCATTTTTAGATTTTTGTTATATTTCTATATATCTTTGTATTTTTCTAAAGATAAGTTATGTTATTTCTAAGTATTTACATTTTCTAATTGAAGTGCTTTTTATCGAAGTCCATACATAGTGATTGTAGGTTGCTGATTTCAAGACTTTTATATATATTTTAAAGGTTTAACAATCGTTGTAATGCCACACATTTTGTAATATGTTTGTTGATCTCTTTAATTTTTTATTTTATCATCTTTTGTTACCAACAGGGTACCAATTAATCTACCTGTTCCGTTTTTAAAGTTAATTATTTTATTGTAATTATATCATTAGTTAATCTGATTAAACGATTGATCTCATTCTTTGCCATTAAACATTATATAAAAATATAATGACTTAGTTTCATTTCAATTTTCAAATTATACATAATATATATATATGAATGTATATACTAATGGATTTTTTTTATTTGAACATATGTTCAAATAAAAAAAATCCATTCTTTATTCACCTATATTGGATAAGTAAGCTAAATGAAACACAAGGTAAACCTTAATATTTTTCGTCACATCGTGTGTATATTATTGCCTACTGAACCCATTCCTTATTTGATACGAACTTGACGGAAAACGATTATAATAGTAACGACTTTCTAGAGCTTTAAAAATATTAAAAATTTTCGCCTTTCTAAATATAACATAACTCAATTGAACTTTTCAAATACTTACTATAAGTACTTAAAACATTTTTGGGAACACCTTGTAGAAAAGTCCATAAATTCGAAATCCTTTCGATTTTTTTTGTGCCAAGCGGCTAAACTGTACTATAGGGCCGCGCGGATCACTTGCCTTAGTAAAAATAGTCGAAACAGTATCCGTCGGCCGTCTAGAAGCCTTTCTAGTGATCGAGACCATGCGGACACACGGTGTCCGCCACGGCCCCCTGGACCCGACATATTGGCGGTCACAAGGTGTCCGCCGCGGCTCCCTGGACTAAATATGGTTTTTAGTGTGGCGTTCTACGTGTTAAAGAAGGACCAATGCTAGGTTAAAGATTGGCTGGATAAGAAGAAGCTAGGATGTCGATTCTTAGCAGTTAAACGTATATAGGCTTTTGTTTCTCTTTTTTAGTTTTCACTTTATATTAACAATATTCTGGCAAGAAATAAATATGTCATTATGATCTGCAGTGAAGTGTACATATCGAAAGCTTCTAGTCAATTACACGCGGAAATGAGACGGCAAGATGTAAATGAGCGTAGAAAGTATTATTTGAGACAAAATTTTATAAAAAATACATCTACATACTTAAATATTATAAATATATATATAATTAGTATATTTTATGCGCGATGTTAAAGAGATCTAGAAATATGCAAATTTTTATTTTAAATTTTATTATTAAATGAAAATCATTGTACTGAGTTGTTTTTAAAATTGACAAGTGCAAGGAATATTTTTGAACAAAACTTGATACACATTAGAATATAAATTATCTAACGAAAGAAATAATCAGATATAAATACCATTTCCAACGCTAAATATATGAGAACCGAGATAAAACGCCTGACTATAACACTGCCTGTTATTATACTGACTCCATCTACACTTCTCACCCACACACGTACACACTGGTGCACACACTACTATTTGACGGCAGAAATGAATAACAGTTACCACCCTGTTAACTGTTTCTGCCGCCTACTCAGATCGACTCCTATACAGAAAATGAGTCTTACCACCTAAAAGTCAATAAAAAGTAAGACAATCAAGTCAAAAATAGTAAAATATTACTCAAAACGATGAAGTCATGAAACTAATGAAGAAAATATTAATAAAAATAATCCTTCATTATTTTGAAAATAGACTGTAGAAAGGGAAAAATAATAAAATAATATTCTACATAATGTGTTCCTTTTTTTGAAATCAGATAAATAATCACAATACTAGACGTTGCAGATGCAGCATTGTACAATTGTTCTTGAAAATCAATCTTACTTCCGAATCCATACGAACATCCAATTATTCAATCTCTTTCGGAAGCGAGAGGCGCTGACATAGAATCAATTAACGTATCCCGGTCAGTGTTGAAAGCCTGTTCATTGTTTTTGGTACAGAGGGACCACATTTAAAATTCCATTATTTAAAATGAACGGCGAATCAATTTAACAGGTCGAAAGAATCTCCGCTATAATATTGGTGAGCATTGTCAGTATAAGAACATTAATTCCGCATTATTATTGTCTTATTTTTTATTATTTTTATTACAGCTTTTTGTTCCGTCTTGTCAAGTGAGGGTTGACCGACTAACACTATAATTTACAATAATTTATACATGATAGAATCATGCTGCAGATGTATTATGGTTGTAGTACGGTTGGGACGCCTCGACGGGGTGGAATCATACTCACACAGAATGTCAACGTGAAAGCTTATTAAGGCTGATGTGTGCACTCCAGTGACTCATTTTACTGAAAGCGTCTGCATTTTGATTCTTAATAGAGGATAAATGTAGACGGGCATGGTCTATGAATTGTGTGCACGTTTGGTACACTTATGCTAAAAAATTCTATTATATTTTACATATATTATGACCATATTTTACATCATTACATCATATTGCTTATATTAATCATATATATGTTACGTTAATAAATTCCCAAAGTATCTCATACAAAAAAAATGAAACGAATTGCAAAATTTAATTTCTTCTTCACCTTTCCACCATTGGACAAGTAAACGCTCGGCCAGTCTACACCCACTGTTTCAACTTATCGCCCATTCGAACCAAACTAGCGAAAGAGTAGCCTGTTTCAAAAAACGCTGCCGTGCTAACTCTGCCAATTATCGGCCAATCTCAATTACCTCCATACTCCGCAAAATTATGGGGCGTATATTGAACACCCACTTAATGGCATACCTAGAACAGAATGACTTCCTTAGTGACCCGCTGATAAGGGTTTCACCGAAATCGGTCAGCTGGAGACCTTGTAACTTATGCCACACACGTATGGGACAAGGCACTCAAGAACAGTGGGGAAGCACTTGATGTTTATCTTGATGTCTCGAAGGCCTTTAACAGAAATTGGTACGCTAGCCTTTTGAGTAAGCTACCAGCGCATGGAAGTTCCCCTGGTCTGGGTAAAAGACTTTCTGAGTGAACGATCTCTCCGGGTCGTCGTCGATAGCTGCTCGTCCGATCCTGTTGCGACTAACGCCGGTTTTCCTCCGTTCTCTCCGCAACTCTCTTCATGCTGCATATTAATGATCTACTTATGCCCGGAATATATGGGTTTGCAGACAATAACAGAGTTGTGAAGTGATACCAACCAAGTCCTCGGGCCATTCGGGATCAAATCCAATCCAAAAGAGAAACTATGGTCGAGCGTGTGAATCTCACACTACTTGTCTCCAAATAGGGCAATGCCAATCCGGTGAAATTCAACGCTTCCAAAACACAAGCATTTCTTTTCACTGCAAAAAAGGCAGCTCATCTTCGCTCCATCTTTCCGAAATGTATCACTGCAATACACCAACCAGCTTCAGTTGTTGGAGGTTGAGATATCCTCAAATCTTCGGACAGTTCATTGAGTCCAAGGCCAAAGCAGCTGCAAGGAAGCTAGAAGTCCTTGCAAATGTACTGCGGCGATACTTCACGCTGGGATAGCTGCTTTCTTACCAGCCTTGAAGACAGACGCAAAGTAGCCAACCTTTTGGTTTTCTACTGGATACATTTCGGATAGTGTGCGCAGGAATCGCATAATTTAATTCCTCCTTCTCCCTTTCACCATCGGAGAACCAGACTTTTTGTCGGCCAGTTTTAATGCATGGTAAGTAAACAAAAAAGGGATGGACCCTTCGTTGTTTACTTACCATGCATTCATACCCGGTTTGCCACATCGTTCATCATACATACAGCAAAGGAGTGGAATAAGTTGCCAGGATCTGTATTTCCATCCGATTACAATGTGGGTGTCTTCTTCGTCGTTTTCTCTTCAAACATCGCCGCATCGCGTCGCGTTTCGGCGTGAACTGACCCTTGGCCACTATTTCTGCAAAATTGCAAACCTTGACTCCGTTGCGTGCCTTGCTGTGTTAAGATTTATAGGCATACGTTATTAACATAAATCATGAATCTATTTCGAATGCTTAATTTTTTTTTATAACGAAGCTTTACCGTCTTTATATTTATAACAAGTTGATCAACGGAAAAATAACGTCATTATTTCAAAGCTGCGCACTCTAAGAGCTGATTTCCTATGAAATTATAGTCAGTTTGCCATCCCATGAGACTATGAGGAAATAGAGAGTACACTTGTACTCGCGCACACACTTCTACACTATAATCTTGTCTTGCGCTGATGGCTAGTGTCCGTGGAGACTGGCCGTCGTAAGCTGAATTCGGTTTGGAGGATATTAATATTATAATTTCTTAAAATTTGCTTTAGTTTTCCTAAAAATGAGATCTAATAAATATATATACAAATGTACATTCTGTAATCCCTAGAAACTAGCACGGTGTAGTAATACCAGGTTTCTTTTAAAGAATAAAGGACACAAATGAGCACACAGTTCACCTGATGGTAAGTGGATGTTGTGACATTTAGACGTCTACATCTATCCTCGATTAAGAATCAAAATGCAGATTCGTGGTCTACCTTGACAACTAAGATAGAATACCGTGTTTCTAGTTAAAAGGGTCTCCGATTCTCTACAATCAACATACGTATTCTGTGAAAGTGTGGTCTTTTCCAGGTCGAGCCGAGCCGACACATTCTTGCTACAACCATAACATTGCTGCAGCATGGCTTTACCCCGTAAAACACAATTTCTTGACTACTAAGCATCAGTAGTTCCTTCATGGGGCAAGGTAAGAAGTCCACATAAATATACAATGTGTAGCGGACAGCGAGGAGGCCGCCGCCCCGTCGCCCCTTCACACCCCGGTGCGCCCCGCGCACCCCGCACACCGGCAGCGGATCACGCGATGCCGCCGACCAATCAGCGCGCGGCATCGCCTTACGACG